CCCCCCCTGCTCCTCAAGCCCACCAGTCACATTGTCCTGCTACTCAGGCAGCGCTACTGCCTCCTGAGCAGGGAGAAATCACCCGCTGGGAAGACCTGCCCCAGCTGAGGAGGTCTGAGGGCCGCTTTTTGTTATTGTTCCTTAGCCAACACACCTCTTTTTAAAAAAAATAATTATTTTAATTAAAAGATCATTTTATTGGGGGCTCTTACTACTCATAGCAACCCATACATCAATTATATCAAGCATATTTGTACATATGTTGCCAGCATTCTTTTTCAAACATTTATTTTCTATTGAGCCCTAGCTATCATCTAGTGGAAAAGGTACAAATGCTGAGTTGAGCAGAATACTTCTCCCGGTAAACCACCAATATGAAACCAACTGGTGATGGCTGCAGAAATGCCAGTCTAGACAGTTACTGGCCTTTCTTTCAGAAAAGGATGGGGGCCTCTGTTTGCACTGTAGCCGCAGACCAGAGACAGGAATGGTGTCGGGCCGTGCCTTTGCGAGCGCAGCATCTGACGGGCCATGCAGCCGTGCACGAGCTTATTAACAATTACTCGTGCACATCTGGGGAAGCAAGAGGCGTGCTTCATAGGGCCATTTGGAGATACCGGCTGGCTTGCCTGTTTCTGCACTCCAAGGACGAGAAGTTCTGCCCGAGCTTCTTCAGCTGCTGAGTGTGGAGGGGAAGCTCTTCCACGCCTGGGAAGCTTCTATCTGTGAACCTTCATGCAGACGCGCAGTTAGTTACGGAGGCCTCGCCAGCCTCAGCCTCTGGGGGCCTCCTGGCCATGGTGCACAAGGTGAAAATGAGAAGATGGGACTGCCCAGATCATGGGAAAGTAAAAAGGTGCCAGGGTGGTAGTGGGGGCTGGGAATGAGGGATCGACCAGCTGAGATGCTGGGATCAGGGCAGACTGAGACAGCTGTGAGTCTAAAGGGCCAGGGCAGAGCTCGCTGGGAATGAAAACACTGGAATCCATTTCCACTCCCTGAGGGAACCTCTCTGGGCCTGCCCCAGGGTCCAGGAAACGGCTGCTGGTTCCCAGGCCTCTGGGAAAGATGTTCCAGGTGTAGGGTGTGGTGAGGGGGAGGGGAGCAGCTTCCCACTGCCTCTGTAGCCTATTAGGGTCCTTCCCTAAGGACGCAGGCATCTTTTTGGAGGAAGCAGATTCAGTTCCTGCGTGGGAAACAGGCTGGCGTGGCAGAAATACAAAAAGCACGTCACTAATTACCATATGGCTGAAGAGTCGGTCCACTCGACTGTTCCAACGTGAGCCGATTGCGAATGAAAACCATTCTGCCACTTCTAGCCAAGTTTCTGGCCTTCTGGTGAGCTTTTTTCTTTCATTCTTTTTCTTTTTTAATATGCTTCTTTGAAGACTTTATCGAGTTATCAATGGCAATGCTATCCCCTTGCCAGTGGGGAAGAAATCTGGCTTTGACGTAATGTGCTCAATGCTTCAAAAATAGTAACTAAATGGAGAGCGTATTCTGCTGGAGAAAGGCGGTGCAGACCGAGGGTCCAGTGTGAGAGACTGGGGGTCCCGGCAGTGGGTACGTGCGGGGACTTTGGTCCCTTCGTTCTGAGTACGTTCTTGTATATTGTAGGATCCCAGCAGCCATTCGCTCACACAGGAACGGTTCCTACCCAGGTGAAGTCCCATTACAGAAAGCCTGGTTGCTCAATAGCACCTACTCACATATGTTTTATACTGAGGGGGGAAAAAAGGTGTAATTTAATTCATGTGAAAATACTCATTCTCCTGGGCCCTGTGTTTTCTTCCTGAGAAAATGCAGCCCGTCCGCTTTCCATGAACCTCCCTGAGCGTCTACCTCACTGCCTGTGTGTGGAAAAAAGTCCCGACTCAGGCCCAAGCCCAGAAAAAAGAACTGCCCAGTCCCTCTTGGTGCAACAAGGCTCATGCTCAGTCTGCTTCCCAATCTGGAGACCTCCTGGCTTTCTGGGAAGATGGCTGTGAAAAGACAGCATGGGCCCCGTAAGACCTTGCCAATGAGAGAGCCCTCCTCTACCTAAAGCAGGAACGTGTCACACAGAGCAGCTAGTGGCCACCAGGGCTCACGTCCATTACAAAATGGTCGGTTCCCTTTGCTCATATAAGGAGTCCTGGTAGAATAACCTGGTGGGTTGGGTTGGCAGTTCAAACCCACCAGCTGCTCTGTCGGAGAAAATGAGGCTTTCTGCTCCTGTAAATATGTATAACCTCAGAAGCCTGCAGGGACCATTGTACTCTGTCCTACAGGGTCACTGTGATTTGAAATTGACTCTATGGCAGTGAGGTGTTTTTTTTTTTTTCCTTCTTTTTTGGAGGGTGGGGTGGGGGCAGGGAAGGATACTTTTCTCTGTAATCAATTTATACGTAACCTTCTGGTCTCAGCTCAGGGTATTTTTCTGATTGCCGTAAACTTTGGATTCCCTTCCCTTTACCATTCATTATGCTATCGTCACTCCTCACTCCCTGACACTTAGTCAATACTGACTCAGAGCGATCCTATAGGGAAGAGTTTTCAAGATTGTAACTCTTTACGGGAGTAGGAAGCCCCCTCTTTCTCCCACTGAGCAGCTGGTGGGTTCAAGCTCCTGATCCTGAAGTTAGCAGCCCAATGCGTAACCCCAACTACACCAGGGCTTTTCATTATACCTTTTGTTACCGCACTGACATTCTTTCCCCTTCCCAACATTGACTGCAAGTGATGGTTGTATGCTTGTTGATGACGAGGCTTCCTCTACTAGACGGTACCTTCTACAGTCTTATCAGCATTTAGCACAGTGCCTACCATGCAGAAATGACTCTGTCTACACTTATTCAACGAATAAGTGAAGTGGACCATGGTCACCAATTGGTGGGGGTGAGAGGGTCCTGGGGAAATGGCATTTTTGCTGGCTGCTGAGAGAAGGGCACTTCCCTAGGCAGTGGGAAGGAGGCAGCAGCACGGGCCCATGAGAGCCCCGAGGGCCAAGGGTGACAGGCCTTCTTAATGGACACTGCCAGGTGGGGCGAGCTTACTTCGGTGAGGAGCCTTTCCATAGAGCTCTGGGCTCCTCGCGGGTGGCAGTTCTGCTCGTCAGCGCACTGGGGGTGGAAGCTTTTGCAGGGAGTGCTGAAATATTTGGCCATGCGTCTGATTGTTTGGTTTTCCTCTTCAAATGCCTTCCATTGCTTCAGCTGTTCAAGAAAAGAACACGTGCTATTGATGTCATTACACACCCAGAAACAGTCGCTCATGCTCATAAACACCATGGAATGGCAGTGACATGGATAGGCGTGGGCTGAGATATGTCACCACCCCACCCCCACCCCCACCCCCGCCCATCCCTCGAAATGGTGCCTCACTCTGGAAAACTCACTCGGCCAGAAGGTGTAGGGAATGGGAAGGTTATGTAGCTTGTCAACGAGCCAAAGAGGATGATGAAATATAAGCCTCGGTTAACCCGCTCACCTTCCTCCTGCTGCATTGGTCCAAGAAAATTTCCAGGATGGAAGTGTATTTCCAGAGCCATCTTCTAAAGCCAGAGGTAGCGCTATCACAGGGCTAAGCAGTCTAAACACAGTTGATTCCAAATGGAAATGGTTTCTAATTGCATGCAGCTGTTCTTAATTATTTTTCGTGTATTGGTTAATGTTCTTGAGTAATAGTGCTAAGGAACGGTGAGTAATCAATAATCAAGGCGCTGACAGATAGAAGACCGCAAATGTCAATAAGCATGATAGAGTGTTAGAGCGGAAGGGGCCCACTTTTTTCTTTGACAGATGAGGAGAGACTCAGAGAAATCGTCTGACTTATCCAAGCTCATGCAGTTCATTAACCACAACCCCACCTGTCCCAGGCATTCTGCCCCCTTAGCATGTCCTCATGGTAGGGATGAAGAGAGAGTCTGTTAGCTGGAGAGGTAGGGCTAGAGAAAAACGTTCAGGAAACATTCATCTTGAGGTTTAATTTACCAAGGAGGAGCTGAACACATAACTGTCTCAAATACCATATATACTCGTGTATAAGCCAATTAGGTGCCTCGGTTGATAGTTGGGTCGGCTTATACTCGAGTGTATACGATAAGTCTGCCCCCACTGTCTCTTCCTGGTGAACACAGGGAGGCCTCAGGAATGTCCAAAGGGAAGTGAGTGTCTCCATGATAGAGGTTGGGGACTTCGGGTTTAGTGCTGCTATAATAGAAACACCACAATTGGGTGGCTTTGGAGAACAGGAAGCAATTTCCTTATAGCCTCATACTCACTGCCTTTGAGTCGATTCCAAATCATAACAGATTTGGAATCTGGGCATACAGATTCCTGACAGAGTATACACAACTGCCCCTGGGAGTTTCTCAGACTGTCAAAACCCTGGATGGGGGCAGAAAGCCTCATCATTCTCCCTTGGAGTGGTTGCTGGATTTGAACCTCGGATCTTGTGGATAGCAGCTTAGTGTGTTGCCCACTACACCACCAGGACTCCTTTGCTCACAATTTTTCATTCTCACCGCTAATGAGTCAAGTTTGATTCATAGTGGCCCTATAGAACTGGCCCTGTGGGTTTCTGAGACAGTAACTCTTTATAGGGGTAGCAAGCCTCATCTCTCTCCTTCGGAGCAGCTGGTGGTTTGGGTTTCGAACTACTGAGCTTGTGGTTAGGAGCCTGGCCGGACACATAACCACTACACCACCAGCCTCCTCCTTCTTCACAGTTTAGGAGGCTAGAAATCAAAATACAGGGCACAGGCTCGAGGGGACCACTCTCTGTCTACTCTGAGGGACATCCTTGCCTCTGAACCTTCAGCGTTCTTCTAGGCGTTCCTTGGAAACCTTTGTGTGGTGTCCGTCTGTCTCCCATCGTGCTGGCCTGCTTGCTTCTGGGCCTGAGCTGCTCTGTTTCTATTTTACAAGGAACTGGCTTATGACACACCTACGCTCACGCGACCTCCCAAACAGAACAAAGGAAACACTATTCCTAAATGGGATTATATCCATAGGTTTTGAGTTCAGCTTTATAAGACATATTTGGGGGGGACACTATCTAATCCATAATAGGGACCCTCTCACCTCCCTTCTCGAAGTGACGTAGAGGGTTGGACAGTGGCTGCTCCGTGAACCAGTGGCTTTCTTTGCTTGCTCATCAGACATTTTTTAAGTTCTGACTATTGAGTGTAACCCACATTTGGTAAACAGCAGATTAACAAACTCTCAGTGCCGATGAGTCAAATTTTGTGGAGTCAACTGTAACTCATCGCAACCCTAGAGGGCAGAGTAGCACTGTCCCCGTGGGTTTCTGAGGCTGTCACTCATGATGGGAATCAAAAGTCTCATCTTTCCATCCCTATAGTGACAGCCTCAGAAACCCATGGGGGCAGCCCTACCCTGTTCCATAGGGCTGCTGTGAGGCCTCGCCTTGATGGCAGTGGGTTGAGTGAGTCACATAAGAGCACAGCTGCCCACACGGGCCTGAATGTGAAGACAGGTTCTATGCTGTGGTGGTGAGCCCCGAAGAACTCCAAATCCACTGATGCGAGCTGCATTCTCTTCCCTTAAGGAGCCCTGGTGGCACCGTGGGTTAAGTGTCGGGCTGCTAACTGAAAAGTTAGCGGATGGAATTCACCAGCCGCCCCCTGGGAGAAAGCTGAGGCAGTCACCTTCCACAAAGATTCCAGCTCTAGAAACCTACGCGGGCAGTTCCACTCTGCCCTACAGGTTTGCTAAGAGTTATCTAAATAAACTTGACTGCAGTGGGTCTGGCGTTTCAGTGGAGGCGCACATAAAACGTAGGGGTTTAGAAGAAAGAACAATAACTTCCCGAGAGAAGCTGGAGATGTGAGGGAAGTGGGGAAGGGTGTGGGCCACCCCAGGGCTTTCTAGGTGTCGTGGGCACTAGCAGGCTGATTGCTGGTGATAACTGCAGTGCTTGCATAAACACTTTAAAATGTTACTTTTGAGAGCTGGGTAGCCTGCTGTTGGGCCCACTTGCCTTTTCAGTAACACCATCCCTTTCACTTGGCCCTCTTGCGCCACCTACCTCTCTGTGGGCTGTCAGTGCCCTTGCCACAAACCTCTCCTCTCTGTTCAGGCCAAAAACTCAGTGAGAAAGGGGAACCCCACCCTGCTGCCACCGGCCTAGCTTCCCTCATCCATCTTTCCATATTGCCCCGCTCCTGGGAACACACAGCGCAGGTCTAACCGGGAGGCCACGGAGTCACCAGAAACAACCCAGGGAAGGGTCCCACAAACAGAAACGACAGACGGGGCTCGCCCTCAGCTTCATAGTTTGAAAGAGGAACTTAAAATAGATATAATTCCTAAACCAGAAATAAATAAAACTCAAACACGAAACAAATATATGGTACTTCACATCGGGGTCTGTTCAAGAAGGGATTGGAGGAAACCCCTGAGAGAAAAAAAATCAGAACAAGACAGAGAAAACGAATGAAAAGAAACTCCAGGCAAGCGAAGTGGGCAGCACAGAGAAGAAGATTCCCACTGTCAGTTAGCCCCCTTCCTGCTCCCTCCACCGCCCCCCCCCCACCAAACTCACGTCCACTCCCACTTCAACGAATCCAGAGCTTCTTGCTTAATTCAGACCTTGAAATCGGATTTCAAGCTGCATTTTGTCTCACATGTCTCTATCGTAGAGTTGGAAGTGGACCTCGATAAATGCTGGATGAGCTTCCGATGCACAGGGCGGCGTGGAGGTGAGGCTGGAGAGAGGACCAGCGCACGGCTGTGGCATGGAGGTGGTTGATGTGCTCAGGCTGCGGGTGGAGGTCTTTAGCCAGGAAGACTTTTCTCTACTATTTCCTTCATGATTACTTCCGCCCCCAATGGTTTTGTTTTTTCTTTTCTTGTTCTCCTGGTAGCTCTAGACTGTATCTCCTGATCTGTTCTCCATATTAAAACAAAATAGTCTCTTTTTAATCTATTTTTTAATCTTTGTTTTTGTTTTAAATGTTTCCTTGTTTTCTGTTTCCTCAATTAACTCACAAATTCAATATTTTGCAACATCCTCTTGCCCAGCCAATGCCTCTATTGGCGTATTAAATTTAATACTTTCAGCCTTATTCAATATTTCATTATCTAAGATTAGGTCCTTCCTATAATGGTTTGCTTTCACTGAAAAGAAGCAGTAACCTTTGAGTCTTGTTAACAACACAGCTCAGATCTTCTAAAAACCTGCTTCAGTGGAAGAGAGTGTCTTCAAATCTTCAGAAGTATGTGCTCCTCTTCTTGTGCTCTGCAGAATCTCTTGAGTCTATGAAGCTCTCAGTCTTAAAGGGGAAGATCTATACTTTCCTAGAAAATTCGTCTTCCTTGCCCTTCCCACACTTCCCGGTCCCAGATCACTGCCATCATCCTAGGTATCATGTGCATTCAAAGCAGGAAGAGGTCAGAAGGGGAGAGATCCATTACACCCATCTCACTTTGAGGAAACAGAACGCGTTCTTAGAAAGCTTTCCTAGAAATAGTATAGTGAACAGAACAGTATCATATGAGCAGCCCGGGGTCCAGGGGAAGGAGCCCTGGTGACCCAGTAGCAGGTTACTCACAGGTCAGCAGTTTGAACTCCACAGGGGAGAATGATGGGGCTGGCTGCCCCTGTACAGCTTTACCACTTCAGAAACCCAAAGGAGCCGTTCTCCTGGGCCCTGCAGGGTGGCTGTAAGTCAGAAAAAACTGATGACCATGAGGGAGGGAGAAGGGAGGCTAATAAAGTGAGTGTTTCCCTCTTTCAGCCTAGATAAGGAAGTGAGCGGGGCATAGAGGAACTGGGAATGGGCAGGTGGGTTACCAATCAGTCATGCTGGGCACAGGGCCTATGAGGTAAGTTTTCCCAAGGACCCCTCCCCACTTCATTTCCTCCTCTCGGGGAGGGGGGCGGCAGACTATCCTTGCTTGAAAACAACAACCCTTGTTTTACATTCCAGACAAACTATCCCAGACCTCAAGGACCTTTCCAATCCGGTTCTTATGATATGAAGATTCAGAGAAGATTTCTCCAGTTTCTGGCACGTAAAGAATACCCAGCCTTGGTTTCAAGTCTTCCGCAGCTGTCCCAGTATTGGTGTCTACTGTGTTGCGTATTTTAATGAGAGTTTGTGCCCAGCCTGTGCCCTCAGCCCCAGAGTGCACACTTCCTCTGATGACTCTGCGGGAACTCCCCTCCATCAGTGAGCTACTTCTTGGCGAAGCCCTTCAGTCAACTGGCCACAGGAGTGGGATTCAGGAATGAGGGTATGGAGGGAGTAGTGGGCTGAGGGGAGGTCTTGGGAGAAGAAATGAAGAAGCAGAAGGATAAGAGAAAAGGTGCCAAATGCCAAGTTCATCCCCTTGGATATATGCAACTCCACGGTGCCCTGGGGTAAAGCCATCTGCAAGTTCCCCTCACTGTCTCCCTGAGCCTCGGATTCCTTCTCCTTGGACATTGATGGCACCATTTCTTCTCTGTCTGGAGACTTACCATTTTCTCCGCTCCCCCACCTTCTGAAGCCACAAATTTAAAACCCATTTTAATATTTTCTAACTATAAAACGGAGCTCTGGGGCACCGTAATTAAAGCGCTCAGCTGCTAATCTGAAGGTTGTTGCCTGGTGAGAGACGCAGCTTCTGTGGCGCTATTCCATCTGGGAAATCCCCAGGGCCAGTTCTAGTCTGTCCTGTAAGGCAGTGGCTTCTGGGTTTCTTGGTCATTGTGAAAACGACCAAGAGGGATGTCTAAGAGTTTTCTCCAATCAAGAGAAAGGAAGCACATGTTTTACTGGGAGAACCATGACACATGACAGCAAGTCTGAATAGGTTGTTCCCTGTGAATCCACTGTCCCCATGAGGAGAGACACAGATTCCTCACTCCCAGATGAGGGGTGGAAATGAGATCATCCAGGTGAACTGGGAGGAGGGACGGTAAGTGGATGGAAGATCATGTCCTCTAGGCGCGAAGGGGTCAATACAGGGGCTCTGCTTGTGCTCCTTGGCCCACACTCTTCAGTGACCAGAGCTGTCCTTTAGGACCGTGAGAAGGTTAGAACAGGTGGGGAGTGAGCTCTGCTCACTAGGGCAAGAAATGACATGGGTAGGAATCCATAGAAAGTAGAACAAGGCATTCGGCACCCCCAGCAACCCCACTGGAATGACGAGGATCTGTCCTCCGGGCATACCTGGGGGATGAAGATGAAGCAGTTGATGGTGGTCGTGCAAACAAAAATGCCTCCGGAGGTGAGTCCAAAGACCAGGTTGGGCCAGGAGTGAAGGTATCTGGTGACCACCAACAGAAGCCCAGCAGCCAGCACCGCGAGGTTGACCCCCACCATGATGGTTAGGGACTGGTTCACCGGAGGAGAGCTGACATGATCCGTCAGGCCTGCCAGATAGGCGCCATAGAGCAGGAGCAGACCCTGAGGGGGAAGAGCAGAATCAGAGCCGCCGCGGGGAAGTAGAAAATCAGACTTGGCACGGAGAGTGGCTGCGAGGGAACCAATCGCCTCACCAGCAAAACGGGGCTCATCGGCCCTCCCTTCAGGGGCTGACTTTAAAGGACTTAGTAAGATAGCACAAGGAAAAATTTGTATGAGAGTCCCTTATACCTAGTAGGTACTTTAAAGTATATTATTTTCCTCTCTTTCATTGATTAGTTTCTCAGGGGTCAGCCACCTGGTAGGACTCAGCTGAGCCAAAGCAGAGGATAGGACAGGAGCAAACAGGAAGAAAGGGCTGCCAGGCCACAGGAGGGCAGTGGGCACATCACTGCTACCCGTGGTTGTCTCTTATTGTTTGGCTTTGTGCCGCATGAAGCAAAGGGGCAGGGGGAAACCAACATCATCTTGTGGTCTGCTTGTCAAGCCATGCACGGTGGCGGGGTAGTGCCCCGAGGAAAGCCTGCCTTTCTTTGATTTGCCCAAAGGTGTCATCGGCTTGTAAAGATCCACGCTAGCAGAAGTGCATCAGCCTTAACGGGAAGCTGTGCTTTTCTACGTCACACGGAAGATCTGCATAAGCTAGCCATGGCTCTGTGGCAGTGGGCGTTCATGGGAGAGGAAGAGTTGAACAAGAGGAGAATAACTATGGCCACATAGGCTTAGGGAATATTGTTGAGGAGACAAAAACAAAGGCCTCACTCTCTTTGTGACATTCTCTGTCTCCATCCTGGAAAACCAGGTCCCCAGTCTTCCTCCTTCCCTCCCTATACACACAAACCTGCTCTCAATTTCTCATTTCTACTGAGGCACACTCCCTAGAAAGAGCTGCATTTAAACATAAATCACAGCTTGAAATCAGTAGAGAGATATATATGAATGGAATAGATGTTTACCCCTCTGACTATGTATAGAACACCCTAGGTATAGAGCAGGAAGTCATGGTCTTGACTTTCATGGTGCTCTCTCTGATCAGAGATTTAAGGTGAACACTTAGAGGTCTGTTCACGAGACAGACAGTGAAGATGCTGGTGGGTTTGGAGGATGGGGGAACTATGAGTAAGGTCAGGTATCTGCAGGGCTCCTGACAGTGGTCCTGAAATCACATTACCTCACCAATTGGGGTTGAAAATGCTTTGCAGTCATAAACTCTTTCAATATTTAGGGGGATGGCCCTAATGTAAGGTGACCAGATTTTAACATTGGTAAAGCGGGACAGAAGTGGGACACCATTGATAAAACTCATATCCTGGCGAAATAGCCACATGGCAGCCGAAAACCGTACACCCTAGCTTGTCATGCATTCTTTCCAAAAACCGGGACTTTTTAAAAATGCTGTGGGATGCAGGGAAAAATGTTAAAAATCAGGACTGTCCCGCCAAAAGCAGGACATCTGGTCACTTTACCCTAATGATGTGCGCACACGTGCGTGTGTGCATGTGGTATGTGTGTGTTTTGAGAATTGTTTCTGCAAAGGAGAGATTAGCACAGAAGAAATGACTTCAATTACCCTGAAATTCTGGAATCCCAAATGAGGCCTGAGGAGCACCTGTGGGCCCCCTGAGATTGTTCAACCACTTAAAGAAATAAACGGGATGGTGAGAGGAGTCTGGCTTTGGGTAGCTGACACCACCCTTTTGGCACTTGGCAAAACTGGATCAATTAATCTTATCAAAGGTAAATAAAATTGACTATGATTTGGAACTTTTCAAATTTGATCTATTAAAACGTCTTCATTCCATAGGTCCGTCAGTACTCTAGTCCTAGGGGACACCCAGGTCTATCGGCATAACATAGTGTGCACAGACATCCTAGTGTAGCGATGCAGACTTAACAGCCCATGAGCAGCCAACTAAGGTGCAACAGTGGCCCTTCTCTGTCCAAAGGAAAGAAGAGTGGTGACAATGGGAAGACACAGGGAAAGAATTCATCCACTGGAAGACGCCAGCACAGTTTCTGTGACCCTGAGATCAGAAGAACTAGATGGTGCCTGGCTATCATCACCAACTGCTCTGCCTCCAGGGTTACATTGGAAAGTCCTGAATAGAGTGTCAGAAAAAGTGGAACAAAACTCAAAATCACAAGAGAGACCAAGCTAACTGGTTGGGAAGAGACACAGGTGAGACTCTCAAAACTAGGACCTTTAGTCATCCTTCAGGTCTGGAACTAAGCCCCCCTTAGCTAAAAGGGGAAAAAAATCAACCAGGTAAGGTCAAAAGGACAGCACGTACTCTATGTCAAAGTTCTGAGGGAGAAAATAAGTCATGGCACACGGAGAGGGTTGTCAGGGAGGCTTTGAAACAAGATGTGGATGAGGTGTTGAGTGTAAAACTGATGATCTGCTCTGTAAACCTTCAACTAATTCACGATAAAAATTTTTTAAGTGCAATGTCTTCATTCTATTACAATTTCTTCCAAAGGAAGTAGATATGAATAAAGTCTCTCTAACTTCATGACTGCTACTTGAGTCACACCGGATTGACTAGGAAGTCTGTAGGGTCTAGCTCAGCGGTTTACTGAGGCTCAGCACTTTTTCTCCTATGGGTATTATTTCTTGGTTCTATAGTTGTTACTGTAAAGTAAAAGAAATGGGATGATATCAAAAGCAATGGCAAAATAAATTCAAGTTGTAAAATGAATTGTTATAGGGGAAGAGGCAGGTTTCTATGCTGGGGAAGACATGCTTCTCTAAATCATTTCAAGAAACTGGGAGAGGCAGTGTATATTTGAAGAAATGCCTGGGGGTGGGGGCACATCTGACCCTTATGAGTTCTTGCTAAGGAATGGGAATGGTTCAAAGTTTCTGACATTCATGAACTCTTTCAATATTCAGACCAGTTCTGAGAGGATGTTATCATTCTCCACATTTTATAGAGAGAGGAACTGAGGCTCAGAGAGGTTAACTGAGGTTTAGAGTTCCTTAGAAAGGGCCTGACTCATTACTCCCACACAGTTCTGTCAAATTTTGAAGCTCATTTCTTTCTTTTTCTTTTTTTTTAGCAGCTTAGCGCTAACTACTGTGCCACCAGGGCTTCTTAAGCAAATAATCACTTAAAAAAAATTGGACCCTGAATCTGTCTGTCTATATCTATCATCTATCTATTTATTTGTAAATAATTTTATTTGGGGGGTCTTACAGCTCTTAACAATCCATATATATAAAAAAACAAAAAACCCAATCCATATATCAATTGTATAAAACATGTTTGTACATATGTTGCCACCATCATTTTCAAAACATTGTCTTTCTATTTGAGCCCTTGGTATCAGCTCCTCTTTTTTCCCTCCCTCCCCCACCCTTTTGAACTCTTGATACATTATAAATTATTCTTATCTTCATATCTTACACCGTCTGCTGTTTCCCTTCACCCACATTTCTATTTTTCATCCCCCTTGGGTGGGGGGGTGCTATATATCGATCATTGCTATCAGTTCACCCTTTCTCCCCAGTCTTCTCCCACCTTCCCCTGCCCCTTATGGTATCACTGAGGGCTTTATCTGTCCTGGATTCCATGTATCAAGAGCTTTTATCTGTACATGCTCTGGTCTAGCTGGATTTGTAAGGTAGAACTTGGGTCATGATAGTGGGGGGAGAAAGCATTAAAGAACTAGAGGAATGTTGTGTGTTTTGTCGTTGCTATACTGCACCCTCGCTGGCTCGTCCCTTCCTTGTACCTGTGACCCTTCTGTGCGGGGATGTCCAATTGTCTACAGATGGGCTTTGGGTCTCCACTCCGATCGATCCCTTCATTCACATCAATAGGGTTGTTTGTTTTGGGTCTTCCGATACCTGATACCTGATCTTGTCGACACCTTGAGATTACACCAGTTGGTGTATGAAGCTCATTTTCTTAACCGTTAGTAAAAAGCTAGAGATCGAGAGCTGTTCACTCCCTTGTGTCTTCTTTTGAAACATATTTCTATCAAAGGACTGTGTGCACATCGTTCAAAAGCAGCATTTCCCTGCTCGAGCTCTTTTCACCTCTAGGTCTTGTTTCCAATCAGAGTGAGAGGTCAGATGGGTGAAAGGGAGCATGATGTCTTGACTCAAACCTTGAAGGAAGACACGAGACGAGGTAAAACTCTGAGGTAACAGATTAAGCTGGTTGGAATGTGTCATCACAACTGAGGAGAAAAGTAGTATTGCTAAAATCAAACCAGACCAAGAAATAGGCCAAAGTGCCAAGTCCAAACCATATGGGGGAGTTCAAAGTGGACGAGGGAGTTCAAAGATCTGGAGAAGTGACCCCCCAGAACAAAAAGGAGAAAAATATTTGAAAGGTCATGGCTTTGAGATTGATCCATCAACAACGGGCTTCCCTCAGTTCAAGATTCTTTGTAGAAACCCCTCGCTAATTTCTACAAGTCTCTCTTCATATCTATCTGTTGTTGACAGGTACAGACCGTATCCTAAAGAGGTAGGGTTACTAACCTTGCATCCCAAAATGAGAGCAATCCAGACATCAGAGTAGAGGGAAGCACAGAAGTGTGTGCTGGTCAGAGAGCAGGACACGTCTCTTCCTGTCACCTAGGAGGGACACAGAGTCAGGACACAGAGTCAGGACTGAAGGCAACCACAATGATCAGGAACCCATGGCAAATTGTGTGACCATGCTGGCGGGGTCACTCCCTATGGCATATCACTTCTCCCTGCTCTGCAGACACTAGGGGATGCAAGAAAATGAAGATGCTGAAAACATTAGCTGATCTCGTTATGTGAGCATCTGTATATGAACCGATGGACACGATGACAAAACTGGACTGTCGGATTGTTGGGCAGCAGTCAGGTTTACTCCAGTTCTGTCATTCGCGCTGACTTTGATTCAAAGAAGTGCTTCATCAAAATGACAAAATATTTCCCACAATTGTCCCGATCCTGATCTTCACAAACAGTGAAACCTTGAACATGAACCCTGGAACGCCAAGAGTCCATAGTATTCTTGAGGTTCTTGCTGGAGCATAATCCTCCATATCAACTCAACACAGTTTACTCCTTTGCCTACATTGTTTCCATTTATCTGCACCACAGCCCAATGAAATAGGTATTATTATTATCATCTCCATTTTACCTATGAGTAAACAGGGGCTTAGAAGTTCCGTAACATTCCCAACCTTCTATCTCAGGTAAGTGGTACCGCTGGGATCTGTACTATGGTTAACTGACTCCAAACACTACCTTAAAATTCCATCTTTTAAAAATTGGGAGAAGATAACTTCCCACAGCTGAAAGGTCTCATTATGGATAATAAATGGAAGCATTGATAGCTTCCAGATAACTCCCAGTGTGCTGACAACTCAGGGATGCCCATGAAAAGATATGTGTGGCAGGAGGAGCAGTGGGAGTGGTAGCACACCCTGTAATCAAAGGGTAAGTCATTCAAAGCAGTCACAGCTCTGGACTCTCCTTGCTCTTTGGATCATTTGTCTTCTTGTTGGCTAGATAATCACATGGTGAATGCTATGGAAGAATGACGTGTGTGTATCCCCAGAGGCTAGTCTCGTTCAAGGAATAAGGTTCTCCAATGTCAACCCACTCACTGTCATGCTAACACTGATGATCTGAAGGCACTGGATGGGATCAGCAAGCACCCACGTCACGAGCAGGATCATATCGGCAATCACCAATGCTGCCACCAACCCCAGCAGCTGCAGGTCTTTAATGATCTGCAAAAGAGTCAAGATCAAAAACCTTCCTTACTCACTGGCTCTATATGACCCTGGAACCAGAGCATCCCACATATTCTGAGCCACAAGCTCAAGCGTCAGTCCCCCCCACCCCCAGAAACTTCATATCTAGCTAGCAAAGAAAAAGCATTGACAAAAATCCAACATCAGTTCTTGATAAAAACTCTCAGCAAACCAGGAATAGAGGGAAATGTTTAAATCGTGAGAATGAATGCAGGTGACAACCATAGTAAAACCATAGCTAGCATCATACTTTACGTTGGGAGACTGACTGCTTTCCTTGTAAACTCACCTATAACTCAAGGCTATGAGCTCTCACCGCTTCTACTACGCACGCGTTGTTGTTTCCACCCAGTGCCATCAGGCCAGAAAAAGATATAGAAGACATTGGTATGAGAAAGAAATCATCTTTATTCAGAGAGGATATGATAATATATGAGGGGGCTTCAAAAGGTTTCTAAAAATGGAATTAAAGATAATGGATTTTTTCCAAATTCGTCTTTTTTTTTTAATGAGAAAAATCAAAAGGAGTTTTATTTCACTTGTTAGTACAGGGCAAAGTATAGCTGGATAGAAAATGTCATCATTAGCAAATTTTTGTTGAAGCTAACTATATTTATCACATTCAAGAATATACAGTATATGTTTTCCAAAACATCATAGTTACTTTTATCTGATTCTCAAAGTATATTTCAATGATAGAGGATATGCCATTGCCAGTCGTTCACAGATGGTAGAATTGCGATTTAGAAATGTCTACTAAAAACCCAGGCTTATAGACCAGAATGCAGAGAACAAAACTCCTCCTGTGGGAATCAGACTTTTTCAGTTCACCTGACCCAGATTTCTTAGATTACGGTTTAGAAAGCAGATATCACACTATGTAATCTTCCATTTCTCTCTCAACTAGAGAAAATCAACAATCAGATGTAGCTCTTTTCTTTTAGGCATGCAATGCCTAATAGAATATATGAAACACCTTCCTAAAGGCAACATAGGAACGTAAACTGTTTCCCACATGCAGAAGTGAGGTGGTAGCCGTGAACACAGTAATGTTGTTGTTGTTCATATTGTTAGGGGCAGTCATGTCCATTCTGATTCATAGAACCTCATGTGCAATAGAAAAAAAGCACTTCCAGGTCAGAGGTCATTCTCACAGTTGTTATATTTCAGCCCATTGCTGCAACCACTGCCAGTTCACCGAGTTGAGGGTCTCGCTCTTTTTCACTGACCCTCTATCAGTCATGATATCCTTTTGTAGAACAGGTATCACCTGATAACGTTGTGAAGTACATAACATGGAGAATTACCAGTTAAAACTGAACGAGGAGCACACTGGCTATGTTTTTTTCAAAGTTATATTTGTTCATTCTCCGGAAAGTTCATGATTTCTTCAATATTCTTTGCCAGTACAATAATTCAAGTGCAACAAGTCTTCTCAAACCAAAGCCAAGCTCAATGCCATCGAGTTGACTCAGACTCCAAACCACTCTGCAGGACATGCTAGAATTGCTCCTGTGAGTTTCAGACATAACTCTTTACTGGAGCGGAAGGCCTCATCTTTTTGCTGAAGATTGGTTCACACTGCTGACCTTGAGGTTAGCAACCCAGTGTATAACCACTACACCACCAGGGCTCCTCAGTTCGTCTTGGGTCTTCCTTATTAATTGTCCAGCAAAGTCTTTTTGAAGCCCTCTGAAATGTAGAAAATTTTAATGGAGTCTACAAAAAACTATAAGAGCTAATTTCTGAGTTTACTATGGTAACAGCATAGTTTACCAGCTTACAAAAATCAACTGTATGTCTGTAAACTGGCAACAAACCATTGGAAAATGAAATGGAAAAACAATTTTTAAAAAGTATAAAATATTTGATATAGAAATAAACATGATGAGAGTTGTGAAAACTCTACACCGAAAGCTATAAAATATTGATGAGAAATATTAAAGAAATTCTAAATAACTGGAGAAATATACTGTATTTATAGATTGATACTATAGCATTGCCAAGAAGCCAACGCTCTAAAATGTCATCCGTACATTCCGTTCAATCCTAATAAAACTCGCAGCAGGATGCTGTAGAAATTTACTGCAGGCGCAGTGAACTAAAGTGTCTCCTCTAACCAAAGTTTCTGTAAACTCCCACCGAAGGCCTTTTCCCTGCATGGGTCTGAGTAAGAAGGTGGAAGAAGACACATGAGTAACTGTTGACAGGATTGCCATCCCGCTGGGTGAAAAAGGAACTCTGAGAAGCAGGAGAGGGAATCTCAAGAGATCCCTGCACAGTGAATCTCCTGGATCCAAAAGACAGCTATGACATCATAGGAGCAGCAGCAGAACCAGGAGTCAGAGCAAGAGACAGAGTGGTGGACATCCCAGCTCACAGGGCAAGTAAAGATGAGTGCTCTTGGACAAGAGAGTGCTACTGGGTGAGAGGCTGGCTTGTGGAGTAAGTTGTGTCTGGGTACTTAATTGGGGGAGCTGGCCTAGCTTCGCCCATGGAGGTAGAGCTGAGTGCCTTTGGGTTGAGGCTTACTGGAGAGGTGAGTTAGCTAGTTTATTGTGCCAACCTGGCCAATAAACACAAGTGGGGTTAATTGAAGGGCGGAGGGATAAATGGCTCAGTGAGCCTCACCTTTTGAGTTCTCAGGTCTCTTGCTTTGTGATGGTTGGACCAGGGTGCAGCTGCCTTAGCCAATTCCCTGCTTCAGCTGGCAAAGCCCACTTCCTGCAAGACATCTCTGAGGAGAAGTTGCATGGACCTACCCCGATGCAGCCCTGGGTGCTGGAGCAGCCATGTGGAGACCCCTGCCAGCGCTGAGAGGCTTACACATTCACTGACTCAGCTTTTCTCCTGCAGTCGGCATCCTTGTGTCTGTTTTGTGAGATGGAGGAGGACTTTGTGGATTAGTGTTGGACATATGGGTTAGTGGGTTAATGTTGAACTTGTGGGCTTGGGCAGAACTGGGTTGGGATGTTTTCTTGATGCGCACTTAACCTTTATATAAAACTCTCTCTTATACATGAGTTTCTGTGGATTTGTTTCTCTAAAGTACCCAGACTAACACAAGACGGATGCCTCCACGTACTAAATTAGGAGAGCTGGGTTTGCTGACCCCAAGAGCTTGCGTTGAATGCCTTTGGGTTGAGCCTGACAGTGGAGTGGCATGTCCACTGTAAGTACTTATTAGCAGTACTGAAGGAATTTTATAACATGCCCCAACAGGACATCTAGATGCTGAGCATGTCTCACCTGCTTTGTGACCTGTTAACTTTCTTAATCAACCCTTTCATAGTGAACATTATTTGTGAGTTTTGTGTGGCAATGAATGATCGAACTCAGTAGCTGGGAAAGTAGAGTTTTGTGAATAACAGAACATTGACAAACTAATAAATTACCTGAAAATTTGGGGGACTAGAGTTCAAAGACAAAGCAATACTGAGGGAGAACAGCAACATTTAAGAACTAACACTCTGATTTGAAGACTTATTTAAAATGCTATAATAACCAAGGTATTATGGTATTGTTGTTGAGACAAAAAAATTGCTCAATAGGATAGAACAGAGTTCAGAAATAAATGCATATATAAAAAAATATATGGACAAGTAATTTTTGTTAACAGTGCAAAGGTAATTCAGTGAAGAAAGGGCAGTTTTTTCTCAAGTTGTGCTTAAGCATAAACTCTGATCCACACATTGTGCCATATTAAAAAATTAACTGGAATTGTACGAGGCCCCAATGAAATGATTTTAAAAAATGAACTGAAAACAGAGCACAGGTCTCAGTGTAAAACCGAACACTTCTGTTTTTATTCCTGGATCTACATCTATGAAACTCTGGAGAAAACCTTTTGAGATCTTAGGCTAGCCAAAGATTTCTTTGCTACGACATTGAAAAAAAAAGTTACGAAAAAGAACAAATGATAAGCTGTACTTTGTCCACAAAAAAGGTGTCTGCTCGACACACGGAACTGCCTCTGAGCTAACTACGGGAGTAGAAAGCCTTGTCTAACGGCTGAGCTGCTGTTGACGTGGAACTGTGGGCCGGTGCTTAGCAGCCCAATTTGAACCCACTACACCACCAAGGCTCCTGTTTTCAGGACAGTTAGGGCAAAAAGAAAACTGCAATCATATCTGAGGCAAATTCTGCCAGAGAGTTGGATGATTTTGGTGCCAATTTCCTTGCAGAGAGACCATTACTAGTAAAATCTGTTACCAAAATATCTTGGTGCTCATCATGTGAACCTGAGGTTATCTGCTTGTGTTATGTTCTTAACTCTGAGTAAAATTGGATAGGTTATTGAATTGTGCATTGGATGTTTATTGTGCAGAATTTTTCAGACCTTTTAAAATGTGGACATGTTCCCTCTGTTTTATTTCTTGATTATGCATTTCCCCAATAGATGGGTTATGAAATAGTGGTGTTTAGATAAATGCTGTTTCATAAATGCAGTTCTGCTTCGTTTTCTTGCAGGAAAGATTTTTGTTTGTTTGTTTATTGTGCATTAGTTTGAGTTTTATGATTGGACATTATTGAGATTGAGTTAGTATTGACCTTCTCTCCCCTCCCCAGAACAATAAGGAATTTTCGATTCAATTAGATTCCTAAGCGACAACCCATTTGAATTTTAGTCAAGTGTAGATTGGTCCATTAGGGCACTCAAGTTTTTCCCTTGGATTTATTTTGAATCACAACTTTTGGAAGGTTTTATGTCATATGTGAAGGCTTTTAAAAAAAAAAATTTATATATATATATATATATGTATGTATGCTTTCTTAAATCATAAAAAACAAAACAAAACACTTCTGTTTTTATCCCTGGATCTACATCTATGAAACTCTGGAGAAAACCTTTTGAGATCTTAGGCTAGCCAAAGATTTCTTTGATATGACCTTGAAAAAAAAAGTTACGAAAAAGAACAAATGATAAGCTGTACTTTGTCCACAAAAAAAGGTGTCTGCTTGACACACGGCAGAGAATGAAAGTGCCACCGCAAGGGACGTGTATGTGTCGCTGTCTAAACATGGCCTGAATCACACATAAGTGCCAGGACTCGGATCATGCTGAGCATCGCTTTACACAGTCCACTCCGTTGGACTTTTCTTCCTTTTCCAGCCACTCACAGCAATGTTTAGACCTGTGTGTTGAGAATCCCCTTGGCCCAGGAGACAGAGATAGCGAGAGGGCTAGGACACCCTTGCCGAGATGGCAAGAGATAGTGAGGCACAGCAGAGAAACATGGGCTCCTAGGCCCACAGAGTAGGAAAACAACACCTTCAGGCAGAAGGTTTGCTGGAGGAGTGGGCTGCCTCCGGGCTAGTTTTCTGACACGGCTGGAGCTTTGGAACAATGCTTGGTAGCAGGGTGGGTACCTCTGGCCTTTCATCTGCAGAGCTAAAAAGGCTGGGCAACACTTGAATTAGCAGAGCACAGGCTAGGCCAAGGGGTTGAGGGTCAGGGGGAGGCATGCCTGAAGGTGCACTGAAAAGAGGCTGTCTTGATCAAAGAATTGTTTCTTGAGTCGTATCTGATCCTGAATTTTAACCTATTACTTCTCTAATAAATCCATGATGATGGGGGTGGGGGGGACAGACATGCTATAAATTGGATGAAAATATTTGCAAGCCATATATATGATGAAAACGTTGGGCTCAGAATACATAAAGAACTTTCAAAACTTATTAAGAAAACAAATACCAACCCCCTTCCCCTCAAACTGGGCAAAAGTTTTGAAGAGTCACTTCAAACAATTAACATCAGCAACAACAAAAAAGGGTGGCAAATGTGTAAGCAAAGACAGTTTAATACTATGAGTCCTTAGAGAAATACAAATGAAATCCATTGCCAGATGCCACAACACACCTTTTTGAATGGCTAAAAGGGACGCCGACCCCCAGCGTGGGCAAGGAGGCGGAGGAACACTGCTGACGGAAATGGAAAACGGCTCAACCTCTTTTGAAAACAGCTCCTTACAAAGTTAAACATACACCTACCACTGAATCCACTCATTCCATTCTTAAGATTTATCCAAGATGAATGAAAACATTTGTCTATAAAAAAAAACTTGTACATGAATGCTCATAGAAGTTTTATTTATAAAGAGGGAACTGGTCTCAATGATCAACGTCTATCATGCCCCCCCGCCCCCTGGGGGATGAACGACAGAAACGTGGGTGAAGGGAGACAGTAGACGGTGTAAGATATGAAGATAACAATAATTTATCATTTATTAAGGGTCCCAAGGTAGGAGGAAGGGTGAGTTAGTTAACTGTGCCAGCCTGGCCGATAATCACATGTGGGGCTAATTGAAAGGCGGAGGGATAAATGGGTGGTGAGCCTCGCCTTTCTCGTTCTCAGGTCTCTTGTTTTGTGATGGTTGCACCAGGGTGCAGCTACCTTAGCAGTTCCCTGCTTCAGCTTGCAAGATTGACTTCCTACAAGACACCCCCAAGGAGAAGACACATGGACCTATCCCGATGCAGCCCTGGGTGCTGGAGCAGCCGTGTGGAGACCCCTGCTAGTGCTGAGATGCTTGTTCGTTCACTGACTCAGCTTTCCTCCTACAGTCGGCATCATTGCCTCTGTTTTGTGAGGTGGAGGACTTTGTGGACTGGTGTTGGGTTAATGGGTTAATGTTGGCCTTGTGGGCTTGGGCAGCTTTGGGTTGGGATGTTTTCTTGATGCACACTTAACCTTCTTTACATAAAACTCTCTTATACATGAGTTGCTGTGGATTTGTTTCTCTAAAGTACCTAGACAAATACAGAGGGGTAAAAAAAGAGGAGCTGATACCAAGGGCTCAAGTGGAAAGAAAATACTTTGAAAATGATGATGGCAACACACACACAAATGTGATTGACACAAATGATGTATAGGTTATTTGAAGAGCTGTAAGAGCCCCCAGTAAAGTGATTTAAGAAAAGAATCCCCCCACCAAAGTATTGATAGAAAAAAGGTTTATCTATAAATAGCTAAAAACTGGAAGCAATTCCAATATCCATCAACAGATAAATGGAGAAACAAAAACTATAGCTGTACAGTAAGACACTATTGAGTGAGTGACAGCAAGGAATGAGCTACTGAAGTACACAACAACACAGACAGATCTCCCAGTCTCTGAGCAAAAGAAGCCACACCCACACACCCACACACAGAGTGCCTGTTTTAGGATCCTAGGCAGACCAAATTAGGCAACATGCAAATTACTCTACAGTGACAGCCGCTCCATGGCTGGGGAAGGGCAGGGAGTGCTCAGCTGGGAAGGGGGGAAGGAAGACAAGGAGGCATGCGGAAACTTGCGGGTGGGAGATGTGCTCACTACTGTGGCTGTGGTGCATCCCTGTGTCCACACCGAGTCATGTACTTTAAATATGTGGCGCTCACTGCTCGCCCACTGTAACTCAGTGAAGCTATTTGTAAGATAAGATGAGTCCCTGTTACAAGCTGTAGGAACTGTTTGCCCTTAGGCCAGCTTATTCATATGTATGGTTCCGCTCAGCTGACGAGCAGGTAAATATCAGGCATCATTCAGTAATATGCGCTTACCTCGTTTCCCATACCTAAACTTCCAACGTGTTAGGTCTGGACAGGGCCTAAGCCAAAGACGGTGATGGTTGGGGTTTGTCAGGATATCGGATTGAATATGAGCATGTGACGTGGAAAACAACTGATATGTCAGGAACATGTAGGTGATCTGGCTGCCACACAGCTTCTAGGGTTGATCCTGTCAGTTTGAGGGATACCCTTGTCTTTGTTCAGACATATCCTTCTCAGTCCAGGATTCTACATAGAATGGCCTTCCCTCCTGAGGGAAACAGATGTACTTCTCTGTAGACACTGACCTTCCCTCCACCTGTGCCAGTCTCTCTGGGCACCCTGCTGCCCCTCACAATGTTTGCCAGCAGAATACCAGGATCTGGGCACACAAAGCAAAGATTTAAATCCCAACAGCATTGACACGGCTTCCCCAGCCTGGGCATTTCTGCAGCCACATGACCATCCTTTTGAAGAGAGGAGAAGGAACTTTCGTTGTGAAAGGAGGCAGACCCTATAATCTGGGACAGGCGGTTCTCAACCTGTGGGTCAAATGAACCTTTCACAGGGGTCGCCCGATTCATAGTAGTAGCAAAATGACAGTTATGCATAGCAACGAAAATAATTTTAGGGGGGGGGGGTATCAACACAGCATGAAGAATTGTATGAAAGGGTCACAGCGTTAGGGAGGTTGAGAACCACTGCTCTAACTTTTAATAAAGTATGGAGCTTCTGTCTACACCGAAGCAGTGTGTACATGCTGTCTACTTACCACTCTCTTGTCTGGGACTCTCTGGGTAAACACCTTGTAAAGTCTCCAGCTCTTCCCCAGCACGGGGCCAAACACCAGGGAGGTGCCAATGCACAGCAAGGATAATCTGACCTACAGGTGGGGTTGGACAGAAGCAAGAGTCACATGAGAAGCCTTGTTGGCCCTCCAAGCATTCTGATTTACAAAGCTTCAGTCCCACGGAAAACCTGGGTACAAGTGGACCTTAATACTAAGGATAATGGCAACTACTACCCACAGGACCCACATTTTAAAATGTCTATCGAAATACTAACATTGTTAAGGGATATTCAGAACATGATTTTAAAGTGTTACCTACTTGAATGAGAGTTTCCATCGAGCTTCCCACTAGTGCGTCTTCATTTTGAATGCCAAAGAGGTACGCGCTACTGTACGTCAGGCAACTGCCCAGTAAGGTCACAAAGTTCAGATTCGGACTGGACATCTTCACAATCCTAGAGGCAATCATGAAGAAGGACAAACACAGTCAGAACTCCTGGCCTGGGGTGTGAACAGAACTTTTCCATAGGCCTCCACTTTCTGTTGGGACCTCGAAGCAAGACCACTGGGAAGGCACCGCTATACAGCCCCAGGTCAAACGCTTGAGTGCTTGCTTTGCATTTACTTTCCAAATGAACTAAAGTCTAGCACTTTCTGCTGATGTCACTCTGCCTCTTTTACGAGAAGCCGGACTTCTTCCGAACCAGTGGTGCTGGAGAAGAGTTAGGCTTTTGTCCATGCGGTCCACAGTTGCTATGCGATCACTATATGCAGTTTAGGGAATAAATAACTAGCAAGTAAACACCGAGAGCTAGAGTTTAGAACTTTTAGAAGTGAACTGTGAACTACCATTTGGAAAACCATTTGTTTGTCTTTCACACATTTAAAAAAAAACAAACTTTTTATTGTGTGTTAGGGTGGGGGGATTACATTTCAGATCATTGTTTTTGTATTTCGCAATCAGCAATTTATAGACCTTCTCAGCCTTCCCAATAGCTTGTCCCGCTCCCTCCTTTTGCCCCTCTTCTCCCTCTTTTAGGTTATTATCTTCCCCTCACCATATCTAGCACCTGTTTGTCTACCAACCTATTGCTTCCCCCACCCCTTTTGGTAATCATCAAAGTCTTGTTTCTATTGGTATGAAAATGTTTATCTTGATATTTTTTAATTCATAACAATTGTCTCATAAAATGTGTGTCCTTTTGTAACTGACCGACTTCACTCAGCATAATGACCTCTCAATCTATCCATGTCATGAGACATATCAGTTTCCTCATGGTTCATTAGGGATTTTTCCGTTGTGTGTATGTACCAAAGTTTATTTATCCATTCCTCCCCTCATGGGCATTTAAGTTGTTTGCATCTTCTTGCTATTGTTAAATTATGCTAAAATTGAGACAACCACAAACATCAAATTTATGGTGAAGTTTGGGTGAAATCCATGATGCTTTATAAAAAGTTTATGGGGACAATACCCTAAAGATATAAGCAGTTTATAAATCCATAACTAGTTTTTGTTTTTACTTTTTGTTTGTTTGTGTTTTAAAACATTATATTGGGGCCTTGTCCAACTTTTATCACAATCCATACATCCATTCATTGTGTAAAGCACATTTGTACCTTTGTTGCCCTCATCATAGAATACATCTTTTTTTTAAAGAACATTTGTACATTTGTTGCCATCATCATTCTCAAAACATTTGCTTTCTAGTTGAGCCCTTGGTATCAGCTCATTTTCCCCCTCCCTCATGAACCCTTGATAATTTATAAATTATTATTTTGTCATGTCTTACACTGTCCGACGTCTCCCTTCACCCACTTTTCTGTTGTCCATCCCCCAGGGAGGGGGTTATATGTAGATCTTTGTAATCGGTTCCCCCTTTCTACGCCCCCCTTCCATCCACCCTCTGTATAACTCGTTTTAAGAAGGGATGAGAGAGACAATGTTGAAGGTGATACCTATCATGGCAGGCCATCACATGAATTTATAGGGAAAAAAACTAATCTTGTTTTTGCCCTAATTGATGAGGCGCTACTGTTGACTGCAGAAACAGTAGCTGACACCAAGTTGGTTCTGCTTACACAGTCTGACTGAGAACTGAAAGTGGAGGAAATGCTCTGCTTGCGGGGTGCCAAAACCACTGTACCCAGATCAGCTGAAGACACGAGCGGCGCTCACGATGGAGACTTTGAAACACGTGGGACCCAGATCCTGAAGAACTGGACCAGAAGATGACCCTGCACACCAAGCACAATTTGAGCAACAGCTGCCCAGAGGTGGAAATAAGCTGGTCTACGTAAAAGTAGGTCCAAAGCAGACGTCATGCCACAGTTTGGGGGATGCCCAAGGCATTTTTCTTGCTGACTTCCTGGAGGATCAAAGAACAATAACACCTGTTTATGATGAACGCTTTTTGAGAAAGTTTGTCAAAGCTTTTGCGGGGAAAAAAAAAAAAGGCTCAAGAAAACTTCACTAGATAGTCATTCGCCGCTACAACAAGGTCCAGCTCCTGGCTCACATCTAATTAGGGCAATTCTGAGTTTCATGGGAAATAACTAGGCATCAACCTTACAGTCCTGAATTGACTTCTTATGACTTATTTTTTGTTTCATAATGTTAAAAAATTATTTAACGACCTCCCAGTTTTCTCCCATTTATAATGTAAAAAAGACCAAAAAAAAGACTGAATTAAAGGTTAAATTCTCAGGGTGCTCACTTCTTTAGAATGAATTAAATGCCTGGTCTCTTGGCTTATAAAAAGGTTTCTTGAATTTGTTGGAGCTTATGTTGAGAAATAAAGTTTATTTTTTAAATATTTTTTTAATTAACTCTATTTTCCAGGAAAATTTTGAAGTCTCCTGGTATTTATATCTTATCAGCAGAGAAGAAGGAGGAGTTGGAGAAGTAATAGTTGTTTTAAAAAAATAATATATGAGAGAGGCCGGTGCTGATGCTGACTTAGAAAAGAAAGCACTGCGGGTCTGGTGACTGGCATTCAGAAGTGTGGGAAGTGGTATACCTACTGTCATTTTGGTGGGCTCCTGCAAGCTTACTAACGGAGGCCTGTGTAGCCCACTGCCCCCCCGAGCCCCCCGGCGATGGCAGAGAGATCTGATGACAACTCCTTCACCAAGCAAGCATCCAGGTCTCACAGCCTCCCATCCGTGTGGTCTAGATGGCTGATGGGGAAAGTTTCCTTCTCAGTACTTCTCTGGAGGTGTTTTATTTTGAACATTCATGTGGCATGTAGCTCCAGGTCCCCTTTGAGTCATGCATGGAATCTTGACTTGGAATTCTTCCCTGTCCTGATTTCGTTTAGGACGGCTTTTAATAATCACATTTGACACAGCGTCCATGACCTCGGCTTAGTGCCCGAGACAGTGATGAGAGCTCATTCTTCAAAGAGATGTTTCACGGACTCACACATGTAGATTTTGGTTTATCCCCTGAACAATTTTACTGGAAACTTACCTCAGGAAAAGAAAAGTGAATGGCGAATGTGTTTATTTTGTTTGCCATCTGTGAAGCTGCTGGGTGATGGATCATTACCAATTCAGCAGGTGAATTATGTATAGTATCTTTTATATTATACCTTTTCCCCTTTGGAAGGAATTGAACCACTGATGTCATTTATTTTTCCACTGAACTAAAAAATGAAGCCTACAAAGTATGAATATTTTAATTAACCACAAACCTACATACGTTCCACAAAGCAGGTAGATTAAAGTATTATGTACTTAATTATACATAGCTAGTGTCATCTAGAATCATTATGTTACATTTATGACTGGATAAAAACTTTGACTGGGTTACTGGCAGTAAGAAACAAGGTGTGATTTTTAAAAAAATATATTCAATAGTGGCCTCATTATTGGTTCTTGACTTCTATTCTCAGGCATTGTTTCAATACAACTGGGTCTGCAGGATCTATAGAAACCTAGGTAATCATTTCCATTGTCTGTAATGAATTCAGTGACATCCACCAGCTCACGGGTAAAAAGCTTTAAAAATCTTGGTCAAATTCTGGTTTCTAAGCATTGGGGTTTATTATATTTGGAATTATAGATTCTTTTCTTTTTGCAGTTATAATTTTCTTTATTTTACTTTGTAACAGTTTTATTAGCATATAATTTACATATACAATTCAATAGTTCCATCACATCAGGAAGAGTTGTACAGTCATCATCACAATCAGTGTCTATAGTTTCTTCTGAATGATGGTTAAGGTTTGCCTTGGTAACGTGGCTAGAGAATGGGATTGGAAGGTAGTTCTTGGCTGGCTGAGAATATTAGAAAAATTTCCTAAAATGTTGGCAGCAACATGCTTTCTAAAATGCTACATGTGTTTTATAAATGATAAGAATGAGCTTTCGCACATTTAAAACTATATATGAACCAAGCACATTTTCCAAAAGACATCTGAATAAAACAATTATGATGTAGCATGTGAACATTTATAGACATTCTTTTCAATCCATTGCTTTTGATTTATGCTACAATGGGAGTATAAATCTCATCCAAATAGCCTTTTTCATAATGTTATCTTCTGAGTTTTGGCAAATCTGATTTTTATGCTTATTTATATTAAGTTCAAAATCTGAACCCAAATATGAATTCTACACACATCAGTCTAATGTTTGCATGACATCTAACCATGATATTTAAACTGTCGTAAGGGCAGGCACCTGGCAGTGCTCTGGTTAAGCACTAGGCTGCTAACCAGAAGGTTTGAACTCATGCAGCAACTTCAACCTACTCCCATAAAGATTACACTCTAGGAAACACCACACCTCTACTCCCATGTGGGGTTATCATGAGCAGAAAACCTACCAGAGGGTAATTACTAACAACAATATCTTAAGGCCTCAAGCAGGCTGGCTCTCCTCCTTTTTCTCATGCGGGGCCACCAAACTCCCACCATGCTATGCAATTTCATTACTTTTTCAGAGGTCTCTGTTGTATAATGGAGAAGGACGTGGGTGTGTGTTCCTGTAAAGATGTGTAACCTTGGAAACCCACAGGAGCAGTTCTCCTCTGTCCTCCAGGGTCCCTGTCAGTCAGTCTACTCTGTGGCAGCGAGTGTGGTCATCTGTAATCTTACTAACTTCCCTTGTATTTTTACTTCAAACACTCATCCCAAGGGCTGCTCCTGGGTCCTGTCATTATTCACAGTTGTTTCAGAAAATTCAAATACCCATAATCTGTCCAAAGTTTAACTGCCAGTCTTCCCACTTTAAACTTATTGCTCCCACATTCTTCCTCAGTTCAGATAATGACAACCTCATCTTCCCAGCGCTTGGACCAACAATCTTGGCGTCATCCTTGACGCTTGCTGACCACCCACATCCAATCTGCCATGGAATCCTGGTGATTCTATCCTCATAAAATATCCAGAATCCAATTTCCTCTCACTACCTCTGCTGAAAACACCCCGATCAAAGTCCTTAAGGTTTC